AATTCAGGACAGAAAAAGGTGAATATTGTAAGATAGAACACTAATATCATGACATTAAATGTTAGACCAAAACTTAAGTGTCAATTCATCCCTAATATGCTAACTAGATCCTTAAGAAAAAATCTTCCAAATAAAAGATAAACTACTCGACAAGTGAAAAGCTTTAAGGACATTTACACCAAGAGAATCTTGACCATCCTTAAACTTATATTTAGTATAAAGGACTTGAACTCACAAAGCAGAAAGAGAATTTAAAAGTCTCTACCAAAGTTTTAGTAAGTATGCTTTGTTTAATAAGTACAAATCCTTTAAACTTAAGCCTCTTTAAAATTTAAGTTTATTTTCTAGCCAACAAAATAATACTTTTCAGTTTCTAAAGATTTTTAAATAAAATGCTTACAGATTTTATCAAATTTTTGATAAATAGTAAAAAAAAATATAATTAAGTTTATATAGCATAAGTTATAATACTCATAAGAAAAGATGAAAGAATAATTAATCTTTTTATAAAAAGAGATTTCATGAATAGTCATTTTATAATTTTATCTTAAAGATAAAAGTAATAGTTCTTAAAAGGTTCAAGATAATAAATAGGGATATCAAATTACCTACCTATCCCATTAACATAAATTTAAAAATAATAAATTGTTGTTGAGAAAATATATATTGGAATATTAATGGAATAAAAATTTAGATTAATAATATGATCATAAAATTGAAAGTCTGAAATGTAAAGGTGGATGAAGTAAACGGTTGGGGGGTTGGGGGGTTTGGGGAGAGAATCAGCTTTGGGTTGAATCGACGATCTAATTGTAAAGATGGCAGTGTACGAAAACGGGGAGGTGGCGACTGGCGATAGGGAAGAGGCCGAAGACGAAGATCGTATGCACGCTTGGACAAGCATCCAGGTCTCCGCCCATGATCGAGAAGCTTCTGCGCGCTGGCATGAACGTCGCGCGTTTTAACTTTTCTCATGGACCTCATGAATATCATCAGGAAACCCTCGACAACCTTAGGGCCGCCATGGAAACTACCGGTATTCTCTGTGCCGTCATGCTCGATACTAAGGTACCTACCTCCATCCCTTTTTGCTGTGCTCACATTTTATTTTCATTTATACCCTGATCTTTTTCCTCTATCATTTTCCCCTAATTTTATTCAATCTTTTTATTGCCATCCCCCCCTCCCCCTACAGTGCGGTAAAGTAAGCGATGGAATCATATTTCTTTCGGGGGTATAATGATGAAATAAACTGTCATAAGACTTCAGAATCATATTACTTTTACTCGATCTGTTGTTATTTGGAGCATTATAGTTTTTGTTTAAAAATTAAGTACCAAATATCTTAACATAATTTAAGAGTTGAAGCATTATTTTACATGTTAATACCTATATTTCTTTAAATGTTTAAGAATTTGCATGTTTCTATGCTCATCTTAAACACGACAGAATCCGGCTGGCTGTTGTTTATGTTTCCATATGTAGTTGTTTCTTATCTTTCATTTATCTCTAATGCTATAGGGGCCGGAGATTCGAACTGGATTTCTGAAGGACAGCAAACCTATCCAACTAAAACAGGGTCAGGAAATAACCATATCAACTGACTATAGCATAAAGGGAGATGATAGTATGATCTGTATGAGCCACAGAAAGTTGGCTGAAGATGTGAAGCCCGGGAGTGTCATACTCTGCTCAGATGGCACAATTTCATTTACAGTTTTATCCTGTGACAAAAAATTGGGTTTAGTTCGATGCCGCTGTGAGAACTCTGCGGTTCTTGGGGAGAGAAAAAATGTTAATCTTCCTGGGGTGATAATGGATCTCCCAACATTGACAGACAAAGACAAAGAAGATAGCTTGGCCTGGGGAGTTCCCAATAAAATAGACATGATTGCTCTTTCTTTTGTTTGAAAGGGTTCAGACCCGGTGGAAGTTCGGAAACTGCTGGGAAAGCATGCCAAGAACATTATTCTCATGTCGAAGGTATGCTTTTATTTCATGGAGAAGATTAATGACTCTAGATCTGGTGAAATTTGTGTTCAAATCTTCCTTGTTCTGTTTTAGTGTTGGTATTCCTATTTTCAACAGTTTGTGTGAGAAACAATGAAAACATTATTTTATTATTTTCAATGCTTTCTTTATTAAGTTTTGAAAACAGAAAACAAAATGAAAATATGGTAGCATTTTATGATTAAAATGAAAGCAGAAAGCGTTTTTCCTAACCAAATGGTCCATTAATTACTTGTTTGTTTCTAGTTGCCTTTTCTATCTGTTACTTCAAAATCTTTATGGCAGGTAGAAAACCAAGAAGGGGTTGCAAATTTTGATGACATCCTAGCCAATTCAGATGCATTTATGGTGGCACGAGGTGACCTTGGAATGGAAATTCCAATTGAAAAAATATTTCTTGCTCAGAAAGTGATGATTTACAAATGCAATATCCAAGGAAAACCAGTTGTGACTGCAACCCATATGTTGGAGTCAATGATCAAATCTCCCCGGCCAACAAGAGCGGAAGCTACTGATGTTGCCAATGCAGTTCTAGATGGAACGGACTGTGTTATGCTTAGTGGGGAAACAGCTGATGGAGCTTATCCAGAACTTGCTGTTCGAACCACTGCCAAAATATGTGTTGAAGCAGAGAGCACGCTGGATTATGGAGATGTATTTAAAAGGATTATGGAGCACTCACCAGTTCCCATGAGCCCACTGGAGAGTCTAGCTTCTTCTGCTGTTAGAACGGCCAACTTAGCTAAAGGAGCTCTTATATTGGTTCTAACTAGAGGAGGAAGTACTGCAAAACTGGTGGCTAAGTACAGGCCAGGGATGCCAATTCTTTCGGTAGTTGTCCCCGAGATTGAGACCGATACCTTTGATTGGTCATGCAGTGATGAGGCCCCTGCAAGGCATAGCATGATATTTTGTGGGTTAGTTCCAATATTAAGTGCTGCATCCGCTAGAGCTTCTCACGCAGAAACAACAGAAGAGGCAATCGAGTATGCCATTCGCCATGCCAAGGCAAAGTGTCTCTGCAAAAATGGGGATTCTGTTGTGGCTTTGCACCGTGTTGGCACTGCTTCGGTCATAAAAATTTTGACTGTAAAGTGATCAAACCATTAAAAGGATTTCTTCCAATGTGCTGACCAAATTGTTGAGTTCGTGGATATGACATCTTATTTGTACATTAGAAATATGCCTTTCCGAATCTTCATTGAATGCAAAACCTCCAACTACTGAGAGCATGAATTTCCACGATTGTCTCTTACCTGCGTCTTTAGTTGTTACTGTGGCAAATTCATTTCATATGTTCAGATGCTATAAAAGCAAAAGGTTGCAAAAAAAACTGGTCTAGATACGGATTTTGAAGGTCTTAAGTTAGTTCAATACACTAATACGTTTGATTAAGTGACAAAAGTGTATGAATTTCACATCTAATTATTCTGTTATTGATTTGAAATTTGATCTGAGCGTGTTTGCCTTGTTACTTTTTCTTGTTTAAAATTTGATATATGTTTACATTACATGCCAACTTAATTAGATTAAATCAAGTTAAATATAAATTTCACACAAATCAGAATACTCGTCTTCAATATGCTGTCAGTTTGAATGCTCTTGTACCCCTGACTTAGGAACCTGTCTCCCTTGCGCTTCATTCCTGAAGAATCTAGCCCGCATGACCAATTGCCAATACAAATTACCCTAACCCTTTTTATCCAGTACAATTTAGATAGCCCAGGTTTGAACGTGGTTTCTCAACCTCCTGACAGGTGAGAATTACATGCCAATCCTGGAGAAACAGACTCTTTCAATATATTTGGCTTTGTGGATTATCTATTCCAAAGCTTCCTCTACCCAAAGTTTTGAAGAGTGATTTCTTGGATTTTCAACTATCTCTAAAAATCATTCTCAGCATCATAAATGTTGAAGTAGTTGTAGGGATGAAATGGGTTAGGATAAGTTAGGTTTTATATTGTTTAAATATGAATTACTTTTCACACCAAAACTAGTTTTACTTATTTAACTAAGATAATCACTTTTTTGAGATTTGATTTAACTTTTTTAAAAATCTATCTTGATTCAAAAATTTATTAGTATTTTGTAAGAAGAACTATTAAAGTTATAATATGCTTTTAAATAAATTAATAAATTGATACTTCTTTATAAATAAGTAATTTTAAAATATTGGTAGAATCCTACATCCTCCCATAAATTTAGAAAAATAAAACAAAAATATCTTTTAGAAAAACTTGTAAGTATTGTAAACTGTTAATTGGGATCATATAATTAAAAATGTAAGATATGAAAACGTTGATAAAGTTAAATTTATCAAAGAACATAACGATAGTTTAATGTATATCTTTTTATTTTTATTTTTTTACACACGACATGAATTTACTTACTTTTTATTTTTCACTTGCGACTACGAAATCAAGAATAATCATTGTTTATTTTTTTCTATGGCTATAAATTTTGATTAGGATTTACAACTGGAAAAACTCTTTTCCAACAAAAAGAATATAAAAAACACCTAAAAAGTTAACGTTGGAATTTAAAAAAAAAAAATCAGTCAGTCAAAATGTGAATATGTACCACAATCCATGTTTATTTGACTGACTTTGTTTTTACAACAAACTTGTTAAGAATGAAAGTTAGGAGAAGAGAGGAGAGATGAAAGAAGAGCTACAAAGAGGTTGGAAGAAAAAAAATGAAAAAAGAAAAGTAATAATTTATTGATTTGTCCTTCATCAACATGTTATTACACAATTTTTACAAAATTGTTAAATCATAATCATTCATTTAACATGAAATTAAATTAATAGTTAACAATCCAATACATTTACTTATTAAAAAAACATTACTTTGTTAAAACCTTTACTTTTAGAAATAAAGACTTAAGCATCCACCCAAAATATTATCACAATAGTTGCTCGATTGTTAAAACTTTTGCTTTTGTTGTGGTGTTTAAATTGTTGCTTTATATTTCCTACTAGAATACTCCAGAAAAAGGTTTCCAACTGAATGAAAAGAAATAGTCCCGTCTTATTCAATTCCTGAAATACTACCCATGAGTCATGGCCTAAGAAATTGAACTTCACGGGTCTATCAAAGCCCAACTTGAATATACAATTATGTAAATAAACCAATGTACAAATTAATGAGATGGAAAGATAAAACCACCACCAAGAAGTATACAGATCCCACGTTGAGTGGTAAACGTTGAAGGAAATATAGCAACTGGAATCTAGGAAAGCACAATTTAGCAAAAACAAAGCCATGTGAAAAATTATAACTTGTTCCCTCAATATTGGATCCTTTGATTGGTAGAAGACTGTACATAAACAAGACAGCATTTGAATAGCACAACACATATCGCATGAATACTCAGTTGTCATCTGATTGAGTATCATTTCCGTTTGCATTGGCATTAACAGACGATGATGAGTTCGATGAAGAAAATAGTCCATCGAAAGGCCATGGAAATGAGAATCTTCTAGTCCCACTTGCATTTCTCCCTTCCTCATTTCTTTCTTCGGCATTGTCATGTCGAATATTTTCATCCTCACTTTGGTTTCTGCTATTCCTTGAAACATTAGGATCTTGCTTAGATTCACCCACTGGCAGTTGAAACCTGCAAACCGGACAAGAACTATGAAGCTCCAGCCAGGGCAAGATACACCCAATATGAAACCTATGCTTACAAGGCATCTCTTTAGCTTCAGAACCAACTTCAAAATCATCCAGACAAACAGAACACTGCAAATTCTCATTGATTGTTACAGTAGGCAGTGCTTCAATGGCCTCCTTCTGGGCAGGCGGAGTTCCATATCTATTGGGATCATTCTCAGCCAAATGTTGCAGCAATAAATCCAAACCAGGCCCTATGAAATAATCACCCATAGACCCAATGGGGCTATGACCATCACTTTGATTCTGGTTTGAATCATAGGAACCTTGAACAATAATAGTCTGATTATAAGGATTGATCAAGATTACACGCTCTCTTTCTCTTTCCCTGTCTCGGTCATCAATGTTGGTATTCTCATATGATTCAGAAGCCAGCCCAGCTCTTATACCTTGGAGCAATTGTAGAATAGTAGCTGAGCTTCTCCTTCTCCTCCGAAGGATGGACTCAAGCTCTCGATCATATTCAGTTTCTCCACCATGGCGTGTGACACCATCAACATCATCACCATTACCATTATCATAGTCATCATCATTCTCTATTTGTCTGAGTCTTCGACGATGACGTGGATTGCCCATCATCCCTAGCAAGATGGGCGCCCAAAGGGAGAGAGCCCGATCAGATTCAAAATCAGCTTCTGGCGTATTGGGAATGTTGCTGCCACTGGTTGCGTTACTCATTTCTTCAACAAATCCACTTTGGCAAAATGGACAGTTGATTTCCCCATCCATGATGGGATTGACCATTTGAGAGCACATATGACACCAATACCTTGCTGCCATTGTTTCCTCCATGATGTTCTGTTTATTAATTCGTCCTCTAAAAGTAAGCTTTATTCCCTGATTCCGGAAATACGCAAGTCAAGTACAACATTGAATCAAAATCCTAAAACAAATAAAATTGAAAGACTCGCAGCTATCAGATTGACAAAATAAATTCGTCCAGAAATGATCGAAAATCAACATTTCTGAGGGGAATGACATTTAATTTTATGAAATGAAATCCCAAAACGACAAGAGTACTGCGCAAGCTTCCGAAATCCAGACAGATGCAAGACATGAATCATGACAGGATAAAAACCAAGCAGAGAGACCCATACACTAACATAAACAAATCTAAATCCCCAAGGACCAATCACTAGGTTAAGGAATAAAGGAAATGCAAAAACAAAATAAAATGAAAGAGAATCGTCACCTTACCAAAAGAATGATGAAAGAAGAGAAGTAGCAGCAGCTATATATTTTTTCTGGAGAGAGTTCTACGAACAGCGAAAACGTAAACCAGGTCGGTAGGTGGAAGTTGAGAGAGATTATTAAGCAAATATAAAAACTCAGAGAATTAAAAGAAGGATCTGGAAGCGATTTGAAATGAGGAGGACACGTCACCGCCCACGCATATATGTATACGTCTATACGTTGACGATGAATAATGCAAGAAAAGGAAATGATCGAAGAAGCTGCAAAGCAACGTGATCATTGAACACGCAATATAAATATTATATATCAATGAAAAAGAAAGAAAGTTGCACAATGAATAAAAACAAAACAAATATTATCCCATGAAATTGTTGAGAGCGAAAACCTACCGAAATCAACGAAGAGCCCTTTTCGATTTCACGATTCATGCGGCTTTTGTTTGCTGCAGTGAAAGATGTGAGACTCGATTTGGCCATTTGCGACAAAATCCTCCTTCTCTCCTCCCATAAAATTACAGTTCAATCCCAACTGCCTCTTCCCTCGTTTGGCTGTTTCTTCATCTTATACGTTTACTTAAAATAAAATTTGAATTATATTTAACCGAAAATAAGATCGCTTAAAATTAAAATGCACAATTGCTTGTTCAAATATACATCCAATTTATTCAGTTTTGTAAAATAATATGAAATAGTTTAACTAATCGGATACTTTTATCTTATAACTTCCAAAATAGTTAAACAAACTATGAAATAGAATACCTTTTTTTTAGTTTTTTAATGTTATTTTAAACAATTCAAATAATGGCTATTAAAAAGTAATAGTTACTAGTTCAATAAAAACAATAATCCAACCTATTTAAAAAGAAAGTTATAAAATAAAGTGTAATATTTAAACGCATTTTTAAATCCAAACTATATAAAGTACAAAACTCAATCCTTAACGTCCTATGACTAGCTGATAAACTTGGGTGTTTAGACTAATAGACTCGATGTTACAAATTAAACATGTCAAATAGATTATTATCTAATTAACAATAAATTATTATTTTTATAATTATGAGTTGATTAGATTTATATATAAATATATTAAATAATTAGTAAAATAAATAAATAGAATTACTACCCCTAATCTCAACCCCTTCACATATTATTACCATCCATATTTGTTTGCGTCATGAGATATACACTCTTTTTTATGTATATTTGTATATATGTTATCAATTTATTTATTCATATTTTATACAAAATAATGTATAGGTTTAAATGTAATGTTAGTTTTCTCTTCCATCTTATTTATAGTGTTTAATTATGATATTTTGATGTTAAGAGAGTTTTTCAACTATTTTTAATTGGACTAACAACTTGTGTTCATTTATAATTCATGTAAAAAATAATATATTGCGCTACTAATGTTATATTTATCACCCATCTGAAAGTAACTATCTTTCTAAAATCTTAAGCCGCTTTTGTTTCGAATTTGATTTCGAGTTCTCTAACAAAAGTTGGTTGGATACACATATCTTTAGGTGGGTAAAAGCAAGTTTTGCTTTATCCACATCTATCGTTCACCACTACCAAAACCCCCAAAGAAACACTTGTACAACTATCAAGGTCACCAGTACCTCAGAAAATTAAAACTATCACCGATAGACTCTTACCTCGCATCACAAAAGTGTTGACCATCGCCTTTGCACTGCTACTGGGGATTCCCCTTCTTACTGTATGTTTGAGTTTTTCAATGGCAAACTCTTTTAATGGAAGATGAAACAATTCTCATATTTAGATTTTCATACATACCATAGATGGTCCTTCAAAGTAAAATATTAGAATATTATGAGAGCAATACCTTTTATTTTACCTTTAACGGAATTTAATCGATTACATCTTTATTGTATGAAATAAATTAATAATTTTCTATGAGTTAAAATATGATATTAGTCTTTATACATGTTCTATGAAGTTAATGTAGTCCTTTAAAATAATTTTAATTATTTAAAGTCTCGATATTTTTTTCTTACAAATTATATATTGATTCATAGAAGTGTTACACATTTTTAATTTGGTTTATATATGTATTAGATAAGGCACAACTCGGTCGTTACATTAGAAAGAGAAATTTGAATACTTTTTTCGCTTAACATAAACAATAAATATCCCTCCAGACATAATAATTTAATAAAATGATTAAGGGTTAAATAAATAACTATTAAGTAAAAAGATTATTTATTTAAATAATCATAAAGTTGATTCACGAAGATTATTAACTCAATATTTTATCTATAAAAAAAAATAAGAAATACAGATATATGAGTTAATTTTTGAATATAAAACAATCTTTATTTATAAAAAGAAAGATTATTTATCTAACTTACACCGATTACTAACTTTATTATAAAATGTCTTTGCAAGTATCTTTTTCCTAAGTTAAGACTAGAAGACATGAAGATAGATTATAGAAGACTATTATATCCCTGATAGGAATAATATGCATTAAAAAATTAATTTGATTAATCTATAGTCATATAAAAAATAAAACAATTTTTTTTAAAAAAATTTAAAACTAAATTAAAAAATTATTCATATAGACAAAATTAAATTTGTGTAACATGTATAAGAATTAAATTAAAATTCTGAAAAAATATTACAACATTAGAACTTTGATATCAAACATTTATTTCAAAATTTATTCACATATAAAAATTATAATAACAATTAAGATTCATTTACTATAGATTTATTTTATTAGGTGACGCTGACCAGATGAATTATACCACAACACTAAGTTTAGTAAAAAATTAAATTTAAAATCTATTATTTATTATAAGATATTTTTTAATAATTCTTTTAATTATTTTTATCAATTTTTTATTATCTTTTTAATGTATGTGTTGCTTAAATATTATTGTATCTTATCATACTTTTTATTGTATAATTACTTATTTATTTTAAAAAGTTTATTTTATCACTCTCATTTTTTTTGTATTGTTCTATGCATATATAGAAATTAAATTAAGAAAAACTACAAAAACTAAATTTAAATTATAAAATATATAGAGATGAAATTTATATCGAAACACTGGCGATAAAATTATCTCAATCACTTGAATAGTATTAAATTATGAATTTAATACTATTTTGTGTGCGTATTTAACAAATAGAATGGAAGAATATATTGCAGTTACATGAAAAGAAAAAGTATAACTTTTGTGTGTGTGTGTGTGTGTGTTGCTTGAATTTACGCTCTTAGTGGCGCTTTCAACGATAGTGCAAATTTCAAGCCATTTGAAACTTTTAATATATAAATTTTAATATAATAATCAAAATCGGAGTATCACTTAAAAATATATTTCTTTTTATTATTTAATACTTGAATAAATTTTTATGTTACTGTTATAAATATTTGTACAGGTTGGAAAGTATTGAATTAGGAAAACTTAAGAGGAAAAATATAAAAATGATGCATGATTTTGGAGAAAGCGAAAATAGTAACAGGCAAAGAGAAAAATTCAACAAGGAGAGGGAAAAATGGGAGGAAGAGCGATGTATAAGGTGGATGGGAAACAGAATGGAGATAAATTGGGGAAAGTTGGAACGGCCAAAAAAGGGGGTGGGGTAATGGTATAAAAAGGGGAGGAGGAAGGGAGAAGAAAAACAACCATCTTATCTTCTTCCAATAAAAAGGGAGGAAGGAGATAGGAAAGGGTTGATTGAAAAGGGAGATAATAAATAAAGAAAATAAGAGAGAATGGGTGGCAGGGTGATGTTGGCATTGATGCTATGCCTCTTGGCAGGAGCAGTAAGGGGTGAAGATCCGTACGTGTACTACACATGGAACGTCACTTATGGCACCATTTCTCCTCTTGGAGTACCCCAGCAGGGTATTCTTATTAACGGACAGTTCCCGGGTCCAGAAATAAACTGCACAAGCAACAACAACATAGTGGTTAATGTGTTTAACAACCTCGACGAGCCATTCCTATTGACCTGGCACGGGATTCAACAAAGGAAGAACTCGTGGCAAGAGGGTACCCTGGGAACCACATGCCCCATAGCACCAGGGACAAACTACACCTACCACTTCCAAGTGAAGGACCAGATTGGAACATACTTCTACTATCCAACAACAGGAATGCACAGAGCAGCTGGTGGAATCGGTGGGCTTAGGATCTATAGCCGTCTGTTGATCCCTGTACCTTATGCCGATCCAGAGGATGAGTACTGGGTTCTCATGGGTGACTGGTACAGCAAGACCCACACCATGCTCAAGAAGTTCTTGGATAGCGGTCGCTCTATTGGCAGACCAGATGGTGTCCACATCAATGGCAAAACAGCCAAGGGCGATGGCAGTGATGAACCCCTCTACACCATGACCCCTGGCAAGACCTACAAGTACAGAATCTGCAACGTTGGTCTCAAGGATGCCCTCAACTTCAGGATCCAAGGTCATCCCATGAAACTTGTCGAGATGGAAGGCTCCCACGTCGTCCAAAACACCTACGACTCTCTCGACGTTCATGTTGGTCAATGCCTTTCTGTCCTTGTCACCGCCGACAAGGAACCAAAGGACTATTACATGGTCGCCTCCACTCGCTTCACCAAATACCTTCTCACCGGTAAAGGCATCATCCGTTACGCCAATGCCGTTGCCCCTGCCTCTCCCGAGCTTCCCCCCGCACCTGTTGGTTGGGCCTGGTCTCTCAACCAGTTCCGCTCCTTCCGTTGGAACCTCACCGCTAGTGCTGCAAGGCCTAATCCTCAGGGTTCTTACCATTATGGTCAGATCAACATCACTCGCACTATCAAGCTTGCCAACTCTGTCAGCAGAAGTCAAGGTCTTCGCTATGCCCTCAATGCTGTCTCACACGTCGATACTGAAACCCCTCTCAAGCTTGCCGAGTACTATGGCGTTGCTGACAAGGTTTTCAAGTACGACACCATCTCTGATGAACCCCCCGCCGATCTAAACACCGTCGTCAAAGCACCCAATGTCATCAATGCCACATTCCGCAACTTCGTCGAGATCATCTTCGAGAACCACGGAAAAGTCGTTCAGTCATACAATTTGGATGGTTACTCATTCTTTGCGGTCGCGTGAGTATATATTTTGAATTAATTAACTTCTCATATTAATTTCGTACCCATTGTCCCTGTATTATTACTGAATCAATTTGTATGACTACAGCATAGAGCCAGGCAGGTGGAGCCCAGAGAAAAGGAAGAACTATAACCTTCTGGATGCCGTGAGCAGACACACCATTCAAGTCTTCCCCAAATCATGGGCCGCCATTATGTTGACCTTCGACAATGCTGGAATGTGGAACCTGAGATCGGAGCATGCTGAGAATCGGTACCTGGGCCAACAACTCTACGTTAGCGTTTTGTCCCCTGAACGCTCCCTCAGGGATGAGTACAACATGCCAGATACCCAGCTTCTTTGCGGCATCGTCAAGGATTTGCCCAACCCACAGCCATACTCCATCTAGATCATTTCCCTTCTATCTATGGCATCCACGTAAATTCATTTTCTATTTTTGTATGCCACGTGGTGGCTGATATGTATCAACCCTTTCCCGAGTTCAATTAATTAATTAATTAATTCTCCTTTTTTAACTGCATCATTCCTCATTTTTCATTTTCAAATGTCATTTCAAAGGTTAATAGAATAAATACAATACCTCAAAATCAATATACTCCTTTTTACTCCACGGAGCTATTATTCAAATAATGTTAATAAAATTTATTCTGGTAATAAAAAAATAAAACCATTATTTTAATCCTCAAACTTTACAGTTTTTTTTTGTAGTTTTATTTAGATTTTGTTATTTTATTTAATAAAGTAATTAAACAAACAATCATCTCAGATTCTGCTAAATAAAATTTCTGTTTAAAAATTCTATTTTTTAAATTTTTAATTATTATTTTTTAATAACATTAATATAAATAAAATTTAAGTACACTACTAATGAATATATAATATTAAAATAAAATTAATAAAATATTTATTTATTTTATTAAAGCATTCAAGAATTTAAACACATCTTATGCTGATATTAATTTCGACATATAAATAAATTTTAAATGTTATTAATGATATACAAAAAAATTGCTAAGACGTGTAAATATAAATTTATAATTAGATAAAAAAAGTGATATTAAATATCTTATTATATTATTACCATATATTTTTATTATTCTTTATTTAAGATATATAAAATAGAAAAATTTTAATTTATAAAAATCATATGTTTTTATTAGCACTTGTTTAAAAAATAAAAAAACGATGAAAATTTAAAAAATACAGAAAATCAGAAATAAAAAAAAAAAGTTGATATAAAGTAAATGAAGTGATAAATTAAAAAATGTATTTAACTCCAGTAAAAAAAATGTATTTAACAATTGAACCATTTTTTAATATTCTTGGAGTACTTATTTTTTAAATCATTTGCTTTTGTTTAACCATATTTCTTATTTTTATTTTCAAGAATAAACTTTAAAAAATCATTTACATGGATATTTAATATCTTAGAAGTACGTATTTTTATTTTAGGCATCTGGGGAAAAAATTATAGATAATTATAGTGGAAGAAGTAGTGAATTGAATCGGGACAAGAGGGTCGATAATTATGTGTTGAGGAGAAGAATGAATGGATGAGAATTGAGAGAGAAAAGGGAAGTGGCGAATAAGAAAAGTAGGTCATGGAGGTGGCATTGGCATCCACCGGCAGCACTCTCAGTTTTTCCCGCTATCGCTTTCCAATTCAAACTAAAATTCATTTTCCTTATCAAATTGTTTGCAAATTAAACAATGCAGAGGTCCAGGTTCAAACCCGGTAATTCTCTTTCTTTCTAAATCACATAAATATCTTTCTGTTGTTAGAGTAAGTAAAAAATTTCTCGCATCGTCCTTGTAGCGTGTGGAATTGGAGAGGTTACTCTATTCGCTATCAATATTCTGGGAACAGTGGCCCTGCACTACTTTTAGTCCACGGTTTTGGAGCTAACAGGTCTTTCAAATTCTTCTGCATTCCGCATTTACTATCAAAACCAACACTGTCATAATTGTTTGCTATCTAGGACTCTTTCAATGCAATAAGTTATAAGCATGTGCATGCCATTGTCATTGCAGTGACCACTGGAGGAATAATATTTCAGCTCTTGCACCATCACACCGTGTGTACTCTGTTGATCTTATTGGATATGGATATTCAGACAAGCCAAATCCTCGTCAACTCAGAGACGATTCCTTTTACACTTTTGAGACCTGGGCCACCCAATTAAATGAGTTTTGTCTTGATGTCATCAAGGATGAAGCATTCTTTATATGCAATTCTATCGGAGGTGAATTTTCTCAAGTGCCATGATAATAAATCACTTCTCGGCTTATTTTAAATTTCTCAACATCCATTATTCCGATATTCTAGATTTCATGCAATTACTTGAAATCTGTTTTGATATTCTACAGGAGTTGTTGGTCTTCAGGCAGCTGTGGTTGCGCCACACATTTGCCGGGGGATTGTCCTTCTCAATATATCTCTGCGCATGCTTCATATAAAGAAGCAGCCTTGGTATGGAAGACCTTTCATCAAATCATTCCAGAGACTGCTTAGGTAAAAATGAAACAAAAGTTTCTTTATCTGAACTTTGCGGATTTCAAGCCTCAGGCAGAGAATTTACCCCTTCATGCTTTATGTTGTAGGGATACTGCTGTCGGAAAATTCTTCTATAAAACTATTGCCACAAAAGAATCTGTGAGGAACATTCTTTGCCAGGTACTCCTCTTGATTAACAGTCAATTTCATCTCTTTAAGAACTTATGCCTTAACGAATGCTGGATAGACTGCTGGTTTTAAAAAAAAAAAAGGAATTTTGGATAATGGATAGACTAACAGAATGCCAGAGGATGAGACTGTTAATGGATTTGAATAAATTTGAATGAATCTGATTGATGAGAAGGAATCCAAGTATTTGATTGCTGAAGATGGTAATAATTCCTCAAATAAAGAATGAGATTCACAGAACAGAAAATAAATGTAGAAATACTGCAAGGTCGGGATAGCGGGTGGGCTCCTTCCTTCCCAAACTTTTCTCTCACAGTTTCTCTGCGTTTCCCCTCTCCAAGCTTATCACTTTATGCTATTTCCATTACTCAAATCTGTTTCCTGCCTCCACCTGTCACGCGACAGGTTGTTACAAGGAACTCAACCCATATGCCGATTACAATTCCCTGGCACACTACCCAAAACAGCCTCTGATGTACACTCATGTTGATATGGGTGGATATCAGTCACCACCACTGGTGCTGCAAGCAGTTAGCTCCAAGGTGTACCATGCTTTGTAATTTGACAAATAACGATGATCTTACCTGCAACTATAATGATTACTATGAATTGCTTTTGACAGTGCTACCATGACACCTCAAAGGTGACAGATGAGCTAGTACAGATCATCCTTAGTCCAGGTCTGGAACCTGGAGCCGCGGAGGTGTTTCTTGAATTTATTTGTTACTCAGGTGGCCCTCTACCTGAGGAACTACTACCCCAAGTAAAGGTAAGCCTCCACACACTTGTAGGTGAGGAAGTGGGAATAAAACAAGTGAACGTAAGTTTGAGAAGCTGAAATTCAAATAAACATAAATAATAGATGTATCTTCTTTCAGTGCCCAGTTCTGATAGCATGGGGTGACAAGGATCCTTGGGAACCAATTGAGATTGGAAGAAGTTACGAAAATTTTGATTCTGTTGAAGACTTTATTGTCCTTCCAAATGTTGGACATTGCCCCCAGGTTCTCTTTCTCTCACTCATGTGTGTTATTTCATGCCTTTGCTCCCTCCCCATATGCATGCAAGAGTTTTGAGTTAGCATTTTTTAAAGTGATGAGTATTTTCCTTTTCCCTCATCTCTTTCTTTTAAGCTAGTATCAACTTTAAGTTGAGTTGGGAAATATATATTGCTAACATATTTAGTTTTAACACCTTGTTCAGAATTGAAAACAAAGAATCCATATTAAGAGAAAAATGAAGAGAGAGAGAGAGAGAGACAGAGACACACAATGTTGTTGGTAGAAGATTATTTTGCTTCTGGTCTAAGGGTCTATTTATACAAGATGTTTAGAATACATATGTACATTGGAATATCTATTAATTTACCCATTATCAACCTTGATTTCAATATTTGTCAATGACACCTAATCGTGTTATCCTAATACCATAGTTAATTGCCTTTGCCTCACCCTGCATTAAGGGCTAGTTCTGGTGAGAAGTGTTAAGCATCCTTTACATTCCTAAATTTTTGGGGGGTCCTTAAAGGTAACCAGCCTGAAAATTTTCCATTTTTCTGCAAGAAAATTAGTGACAAAGACTAATAAGAAGTATTACTTAATTTGAAGAGACATGAATAGTTAATATTATTATGAAGGACTATTCAAACTTTAATTAGAGAGAAGAGAGAATGATCATTTTATTCAATTTAGTAGTGAAATTTACAGCTAATGAAATCTCAATAATTTTGGTACATATTACTGTTAATGAAATTTGCTGGCCTTGTTTTTGGTGCATTTATTTTCGCTCATTTAATTTCTGCCCTTACATTTGGACTTGTTCCAGCATTAAATGGTGATATCTCATTAAACGAATAACTTTATTATTCTTTTTGACAAACTTCTCACTTTATTTATTCTTCTCTTCATTAAGGATGAAGCACCTCATCTTGTGAACCCACTTGTTGAGTCATTTGTGGCACGCCATACTAAATCCTCATCTAGTACCTCAAATTGTTAATTTATTCCCCGTCAGTCAGTTTGTTGATGCTGCTTAACTCATTGAAATTCTGTATATTTCTCCATTGATTTTCGTTAAGATCAAGTTTGATTTTTTGTTCAGTATAAGCATGTCCTTTTAGTTACAAATTATGAGCAGCTGATACGAGACAATCTATCATGTCCTTGTATAGTTATTAATTAGGAGCGGATAATATGAGACAATTTATCCAATATAAATGCCAGCTTTAGAACCCTATATAGTTTTGTAATTGTATCAAGTTTTGATGGAATCTTATTTCTCAATCTAGAAAATTTTGTCATGTTGTTGTCTCTTATTTATTTGATTTTGGTCATGATCCTTTGGATAGAAAAAATTGTCATGATAGTCACCATCCCAGCTTTGGGTTTGTTTGAAGTTTTCTTTTCTAATGAATGCATCTGGTGCAAGGAATTTTACTTTTGCTTTTCTCTCACTAAGAAAAGCATAGATTCCATTTTTCTATTATGTTTATATGCTTAGGGTAGGCTTCACTATGTATTGGAGATATAGTTAGAGATAATTATAATTAGTTAATTGGTCATGGCATTAATAGGTTGGTTAGTAGAGTTAGTTAGGATTCTGCATGTTTATAAAGCACATTGAAACGCTTAGACACTTACTCATTCAATCAGTTATCATTTAATGAATCTCCCATTTTTTCTCTCCAATTTTGGAGGTAAAACCCCACTGTGTTTGTAGGAAAAAAATGTGTTTCAAATGCAGTTAAAACATACATTTCAATGGAAGCAGGGCTGCAGGATAGTTACATCACATTGGATAACGTAATATTATTATTAACAATGATACTTGAATCCAGGACTAATGATGTGCGGTACGTTCCATGAGTACAGTAAATTTGTTCAAGGAAATAGTTTCCTTTGTATTAGGAGACATGGACCCTAAGAGTTGGAGAAATTTCATCCCATATTTACATAAGCGGGGTACAAAAAATACATATATGGAAAGAATGACAAAATTTCCTACATTCTTTACTATTTACACAAAAGAATAAACGAATTGGGCATCCTATTCAGATCATGAAATATGAATAATTGGTATCACTGATCTCCCTCTGACCAAACGGGTATTGTGCTCAACTCCTCGAGGCAGACTTTGAAATGATATGTTTGTGACTGTAGCTGAAATCGTACGTGCAAAGGATGATGTAGAGTAGCAATCACTTCTTGGAGACAGGCTAACTTGTTCCAAAGCTCGGAACTGAAGCTCGCAAGGGTAGTCCCTCACACAGCCAATACGAGGTCCAGCACCGGTCGTCCATCTGCAAGACAACTGTTTCCCCAGTTGGTATGATTTCAATTTGTTACGTGAGGCAATCCTTTTAAGTATTGACTCTTTTGGAATAGTTCCTACATGACTGATAACTGTCTGATCCATCTCTGGCGCAAAAGCTTGTGCGGTTTCTTGATAACCTGCATGAGAATCCATTTGGAAACTCTTATTACTATGCCTAGCACCTGTTTTTCCATTTTGTAGTCCTTCAAACATTTGACCTCTTTTTGGTATTTCAAGATTGGTCAATTCTCTTCCAAAATTTTGGAATCGCCTTGACTTAGGTGCCACCAGTGCAGAAGAGCTCTCAGTTTCCATCAAATTAGCCTTCTCTTCAGCCTCCATGGCACACATATTCTCAGTGAAATCCTCTTCAGATGAGTGGCTTCTAAGGTGTCCACTCCTTCTCAGGGAACACAATTGATCATCCTCATCAACTGAAGTCATCTGCATATAGCAAAAAGAATTTCCTCAGTATGTCTCACATCGTTTGACTTTGACCAGATATAAACCACCACAAAAGAATGCAAAGCTTTAATATTTTGATACCTTGACATCGGAAAGGTCCACATCCCTCTCCCGAAGGAATGAAATAAATTCCTTGAAATTGTCTTCTGTAGGACGATAATGACCACTGTGAGGCCAAACTGCCTGTTGAAAATAAACGAAAAAAATTATTTTTCAACTAATTGTATGAAATCTAGCCACATGGCAATGTGAATCCATCAAAAGAGCTTGCCAGATTTATACCTTCAAGACACCATGTTCTACAACTAGTCTCCCAGCACAAGACGTGGCTCCTCCAGCCAAGAAACTAGAATGCTGAAATGAACCCTTCTTCTTCTTGCCAACATACAAGATCTTAGATGTGCTAAGGACAAAAATCCACTTGGCACGTGCCCCTTCACCAGTAGTGTGAAGGACCTTTCCGGATTGCTTGTAGAAGAACTTTCCGACCTCCACAACAACTTCATAAGGCAATCTTTCCATCTGGAAGCAAAAATGAAAATTTTTTTAAATAAAAGATAGCTCAAGTATATATCTGATAGGATGTTCACATAAATGCAGGAAACTTAACTGGACCCAGATATTCAATACACTGTTGTTGAAGTTTTGATCGAGGGCACTTCTCAAGATTTACCTCCTTTCCTTCTCCGATATCTAGCCTGAAATTTCAAAGAATAAGCTTAGTTTCAACCCTGATGATTTAAGATCTGTATGAAATAGTTGTAATCCAGAAATATATTTTAGAAAGAATATTACCAATAGAAAAAGGGTTCTCTACTCTGACACTTGAGCCATTTCTCATAATAAAAATGTAGATTATGTCCATACCGATGGCGTGGATCAATCTGTTTTATACACATTAAATGCTGTTCAGTAAATAATGATTGACAAATGACCGACATATCAATTTACAAGTATATAAAGCATTACTATGATCAAGCGTCTGACTAACCGCTTCAAGCCAGTGCTGCAAAGCAAGTTTTCGAGCTTTAGCATCTTTTGATAAACCTTTACCAACCTGCAATGACAAAGGGATGGTTAATCATTTTGGAGAGAACTTTATTGATGGTATTACTAGTAACCACCGCCAGACTAAAAATAAATAAAACTGCCAAAGTAGCAGAATGTTAAAAGTACCTTAGCAGCTCTTGTTCTAGCTCTAGACCAACGCGAAATGGCAGTTTCATGTTTCTCAATGTCAAAGAAAGATATAGAACTGCGTTTGAGTTCAGCAAAATCCAAGAGCTTCCACCTATGATTTAAAGCAAACGATCAAATTAAAACATGTTAAAAAAACGCACAAAGATTCAGTAAAGAGGGGCAGAGCTTCTCATCACAGTAAATGAAGTACCAGTTTTGTTCAATAAGAATCGCACAATCTGCTAGCTTTCTTCTTGTACGAAAGCTTTTGTATACTTTCTGCAGTTTAAGTGCAGCCATGTGTTTGGGGTTGTCTGGATCCAGTGGTGCTGATTGGATCTTTTCCATTTGACACTTTGATCGAGAAGACTGATCATCCATCTCTTTGCTCTTTTCATTAATCCTCGACATAGTCATGCTTTTCTCTTTGTTAAACGCTAGAGTCCTAGTTGAAATTATGTTCTCCAAATCTTTTCTGTCCAAGTTCACAGGTGCGTCCATTGACATCTTTCCAAAGCCTAGAGATCTCACAATTGTGGGTTCTAAATCTCCGTTTTTGAAACTGACTGAACACAATGGAATTTTGATTTCATCATTGCCAGAGTTTAGGGACTTAACAATCATTGAGTCCAAGCCATCTTCCACACAATTGCACTTAACAAATGAACATGAAAAGGAAATCCCCATATGACAACAAAACCAATCTGTAGAAACTTAGGCAGTCCGCGGTTCTGAAAATTGCAAAATAAGCCAGAATTGCATATTAGATTTCGCATTTTTTATGTATCAAAGTCAACAGAAAAGGTATAGGCTTAAAGCAGTATGATGGCAGAGGGTACAAAAGAAAACTTTTGAACATCCGTTTTCTTCAAAATGCATTATTAACAAACAATACATAAAGGCAAAAATTAACTAAAGCCATTCTTATCAAACTACATAATAAGTCAAATTTCATATTGCTAGAAAACCATCAGGAATGACCATGGATGCGCAAAAAGATTCATTTTTTAAGAAAATTATTATTATTCCATAGAAGAGTGTCGTGAATATAATATCCATTGAAGGAGAGGCCGAAAGTAGCAAGGGGAGCCCATTTCATTTTATTAAAATGTATTGTGAAAAAAAATCGAATAATCTGACAATCAGATAGCACCTTCTTCGAAAAACATTGAACGAAACATGAATATCCAAAAACATACCCATCGCAAACTTGTTTTGCTAGCTATCTGAGGCAGCAGTGCATGTGAAGTGAAAGCGTTACATGCAGTATCTATGCAATATGCACAAATGAATGCCATCTTCGTTGTTGGCATGGAAAGGATAAAAATACCTGAAGATTGAAGGAGCCAGAAATGAGAAGGGTTATGGCAATACAAGGATACCCAACTAGCTTTTGTTTCGTTCGCGTTCTCAAGTTATGATATGCTCAGGTATCTTTTCTGCTTTGATTTATATACAATTGAAGCTGGTGAGGTGGAGAGAGAGAAATAGACTTGTGTGTTTCTTTTTTCTAACCACGAGCAGCGAACAATTTACGTTAATGGTAACATAAAAAAAAAGTTATTGTTTCTTTAAAACATATTTACGGTTCTTTTCAAATTTTAGGCACAACTCCAGGCCCAGGCTTAACCTTTGACTTTTTGTCCGCATAAGGAAAACATCAACGCGTCCTCTCATTTTTTTCCTTTTACATTTAGTATAGTAAGATATACCATAACGTTTATTGGATTTATTATATTTATTGTATGTTTTTTCTCTTGAATAGAAAAATAAAATATGATAGGAAGAATTATATTTTCATATCTATAATTATCAGCTTCCCAAAAATGAAAGCAAATTATATTAAAATACTTTGAATACCTTTTATGTTTTAATTTTCTTTGTAATTTATTTTTTAAATTACTCTTTTCATAGTAAATTATAAAAGAATATCAACATTTGCGTTTTGCTATGTTATTAAAACTATTTTTGGACTACTACTATAAGTATTTTTGGATCCTTCGAATTCTAAAATCAATTAGAAACTGAGAATCAAGTATAATTAAAATCAATTATTTGACTGATTCGATTCCTTGCCTCAATCACCTTATAATTAATATGTTTCATTGTTATTGCTAAAAGTATAAAATATGTCAATTGTATCGTCAGGTTTGAAATGTATCGACAGAATCTGCATTTAAACTCAATATAGTGTTATTTTATAAAAACAGCATACGGAACTATCAACAATAGTTATATGAAATCAAACAACCAATTTTATTTATTCACCGGAATTAAAAGATAAATTCAATCGATATACATTTTAAGAAAACATTTTTGTGATATATAGTTTAATTAAAAACTAAGAATTTTCTTTTCTTTGTCACAATTGTAATTTTCTTAAAAAAGTTTATTTTTAAAAATTAGATATCTTTTTTGTTGAAATTTTGATCTTTGAAATATTTATTGTTGGTAACCCGTATGTTAATTAATGTTTCAGAACCAAAGTAGCTACTTGTCTTTGACTTCTTCTCTTTCCTTCCTGCATGTCGTCTCCAATGAAGATGTGGAACCATTTCTAGGAAATAATACTATCCTTTTTTGTTTCTGTTTTGTTATGGCGAGTCATTTTCCTTTAGAAGTCTTCGAATAAGTGCAACAACTGACGATGAGATTGACCGGATCAAAATTAACCATTCGCCACTGCTTATGTCAGCTAAGATAATTCTCGTACCTCCTCGTGAGTGGTAACGTAGCTTAAGCACCAAGCTTTTCAATTAGTCCAAGTCCAACAGAATAACCTGGTTTATCCTATATAAATTATTATATCGCGAGTTAACGATAACAAAATATTTTACTTTAGATATATTTGTAGTCTTTACAAAAATAATTAAACAATTTTTATATTTTTAAAAATATTGATTTTGATTTTATAAATTTTATTTTTTTAAAACAATTTGTTATCTGACATGATATATATATTTAGTCACATTATACCAATAATCATTTTAAAATGACAACTTATATAACATATCTAAATAATGCATGTCAGTCATAATAAAAATTATTTTGTTTGATTTTATTGTCAAATTGTTAATTTTCCGCTGCAGTTCTTAACTTTAAACAAAATATCCCTTAAAATTTTTATCATAGCAATTTGCTTACTAAATTTTAAATATTTATTGGTGATTCGCCAACATTTTATTTTGATTTTAACATCATGCGCTGTTGTGTCTATGTTTAATTTTCCATACAAATATTTCTTATCGTTGTAAAGGAAATGTTATTGGATTTAATTATAAAAAAAAACAGATTATATTTTATAACTTGGCATGATTGGACGTGTGATTTATTTTCATGTACGTTGGTTTGCTTGTTCAACAAGCTTTTCAAGGCGATGAACCAATGATAATCATGCGATCCAGGTCCTTAGTGCCAATAGCTTGTAAAGTGCAATGAGGCTTAAATCTTCAACCCTACGAAGTCCAAAAAGTACGTGAATAAGAGAGGGAAGGAGGTGTTATTTTCAAACGGATACAGAACCAAAAACAAAAAATGGTGTCTTTTTTTTAATACTGCCCTTTTGACGCTTGTGCGGCACGGATTTTGACCAATGTAGCAAGTTCACGTTGAACCTCTCATGCAAGTTTCATATAGACTTCACACAATGGATAATTTCAGTCTTGATGAAATAATCGTCATGGTTTGAAATTGGACAACTATATATATTTTTTGGATAAATTTTATGGTATAAGAGTAATAAAAATGAAAATGGATCAATGGTATATATGTATGATTATTTTATTTTGAATAATGATATAGATGAATATTTTATGTTTGATGATTAATTAATTAATTCAACACTTAGTTTAAAAAAAGTGTAATAAGAATGAAAAAAAGCGTAATCCATAAATTGGGAACCTGTCTGAAAATACAAAAAAGAGAAGGGGATTTACGAAAGAGTCCCTCGGGGAAGAGAGTGGGATGGGCCGAAGTGGAGCGATTGGGCCAGACGAACCCTAGGAAGGGGAATATGAGGGAGGGCGGCGAAGAGAGAGTGAATTTGGAGAGGAAGAGAGAGATTAGAGATATGAGAGGAAGAAGTTACAGTCCGTCGCCTCCGCCGCGTTATAGCAGAAGAGGAGGGAGGAGTCCGAGCCCCAGAGGGCGGTATCCTCCCCGTGGGAGTAGGGATCTTCCTACCAGCCTTCTTGTTCGTAACCTTCGCCATGACTGTAGGCCCGAAGATCTTCGGCGTCCTTTTGGTCAATTTGGTCCTCTCAAGGATATTTACCTTCCCAAGGATTATTACACTGGGTGAGTCCCCTCTCTTCTTTCTATTTCACTGCTTCTATTGTAATTAGCCAGTGAAGTTTCTTAGGTTTAGCAGTGATTTAGAGTTTTGAAGACATCAATCAATCAAGTAAGTAGAAGATGTTATTGGTGAAGCAACTTCACTTTCATTACATTATGAAGATGTTCCAAGTCTTGAAGATTTTCCACTCATCTTTAAACTACTCACACAAAGGTCAGCAGCCTAGTGCTTGCTTTACTGGGGGCTAAACATTTTTACTCTCAATGCGCACGCTTCACTTCTCACTTGCCAATTTTCCATATAATCAAATCCCCCCCTTTACACTTCCCATATTCTCAATTTTACTTCTCTCTGCAGAGAACCCCGTGGTTTTGGTTTTGTGCAATACGTGGATCCTGCCGATGCTGCCGATGCCAAATATCACATGGATGGTCAAATTCTTCTTGGTCGTGAGTTGACAGTTGTCTTTGCTGAGGAGAATAGAAAGAAGCCAAATGAGATGAGGTCCAGAGAGAGAAGGGGTCGATTTTATGATCGAAGGAGGTCTCCTCCTCGTTACTCCCGTTCGCCCCGTTACTCTCCATCTCCACCGCCGCGCCATGGATCTCGTTCTCGCTCTCGTGACTATTATTCCCCTCCTCCTAAACGAAGGGAATATTCAAGGTATGCATCGATGTGCCATGTAAATTGTCTATTCATTTAATGCTTATATGATGTGCCTGTGATTGAGAGCTGCTCTATTCATTTAAATTGTTATAATTTAGGCCACTGTCTGTGTTAATAAGTGTGTGCCAGGATCCATCAACTATGGTTAGTTATGCTTTCGTTGATAAGGCTTTTGTTGCAGATCTGTCTCACCTGAGGGTAGAAGAAGGTACAGTCGAGAAAGATCATATTCACAGCATAGTAGAGAGAGGTCGTTTTCACGTTCCCCACCCTATAATGGGGGTTCAAGGAGCCGTAGTCAGAGTCCAGCAATGGGCCCTGGCCCTGGCCGCAGCAGAAGTCCAAGTTCAAACCGTGGTGATGCAAGGGAATCAGCTCGTGCCAGGTCCCCCAGTCAGTGAGAATGCGTAGAGACCTGCCTTGGAATACTTGGTGCTTTAATTGTCTGAATATTCAGCAAATCACTTCTGTTTGCTGTTTCCTCAGCTCTGAGACAAATGGAGTTGGATTTTAATTTATGTGGTTTTATGTATCAGCTTTTTGTTGCTTGAATTAGACATCGTAGGGAAAGTTTAGTCCTAGTTGGATTTTGATTTGAACTAAACATCGTAGGGAATTTTAGTTGGATATTGGTATGGAATTTGCTAGTATTTGAATTAAACATCGTATGTTTTGGTGTTGTCTTTAAATGCGGGCGTTGATATGTTATGGATCGTCAAATCATTGCTGTTGCAAAGATACTTTTGTTGGTATGATGCACATCATAAATTTTACCTAAAATGCATATAATTGGATAAATACTATTATACATATTTAAACAAACAATTTCCTCATTAATCAAGATGGTTTTATACAGTAGTTATAATATTGTCGAGTTGAACCCTGATTCCTTTTTAATAGATCAATGATTACATTTAGTTTATATTTCTATAGTTTCTCTTTACATGAGTGAAGGCTCGCTTTGATTTCTGAGAATGTAAGGGAGAGAGTAGTTCTTGAGATTTTAAGGCTTGGTCACATTAATTCATGATTTTAATTTTGTTAAAACTCAACTTTAGATTCCTTGATGTGGATGTTAGTAGCTCTTAACAGAGCTGCTTATATGTGAGGTAAGCATTGGGTCTATGTAATCTTTAAGGCTTTGTTTGGACTGAGAAAAAGAAAAGAATTGGGGGCAAGGGAGATGAAAAAAATGAACGGAAGGAGGGTTAATAAAAAAAATTCAATTTAAGAAACTTAAAAACATGAAATCAAGGAGATCCATCAATTAATGCTATTTTTCATTTGCATATTCAGGTGTTGTGGATCATATATGTTAGAAATCAAGACAATACAATATAATCTTCTGAGTCTTTAGTAAGTTGTTTCAGCCAACTTCTATCTTATTTGATTAACTTGTAAATTTATTTTATCCAAACAAAGGTATTTGACAAACAATCTCACCCAATTAGTGTTTTAACTTACAACTTTTATAATTTTTTTCTTAATACTTCAATAAAATCCTTTACTTATTGTCCCGTTTAATATTATATCACTTATTCTGATTATTACATTATTTATACTAATTATTTATTTCTAATAAATTATTTCATCTTTAAACAAAAAAATTCAAAATTAATTACAAAATTTAGAAATTTAAATACTAAAAATATATTGTTATACAAAATGAAAAAAAAAACAATCATATAAACATATCATTTGTGTTATTTTATATTTATCAATTAATTTTATTAAACATTTTCAATTTATTAAATTAGTGTAAAACTTTTAGCTCAAAATTAGTTTTTAGATTTTAGTTAGTTTATAAATTATTTATACTAAACGTAGCCTATATTAAACAAGGTTTTTGCAAGCAGGTGTCATGCGATGTATTGCCTCCTTAATCATTATTTTTCTTTTAAAAATTAAATTATATTATTTTATAAATTTTAAAACTTATGCATTTATAGCAATAAAGGCAATTGCATAATTAGTTGAATTTAAAAAGGAATCAGAGAATTAAACCAATTAACATTTTTTTTAATATATTTAAACACTCTGTATTCGCATTGTAATATTAAGTCAATAAAGACTTTAATGCAATCAAGCCAATTAAAACATGGGAATTATGAAATTATAAACTGATAAAAATAAGCTTCAAGATAAAATGTGGTCTATAAAATTTTACAAACAATTTATAAAAGAACACATAATTTTTTTTATAAGTTGTTTTTAGTTTATTTAGTTTATCAAAATAAAATTTATTGTTAAATTTATGTTATAAATTATTATTTAAAATTATTTATTAAATAAGTGTTTAAATAAATTATACATTTAAATATAGTGAAAAAAATACGTATTTTATGTACAATTGTACACCTTAATAAACTTATAAAATAGAGATACAGTAAATAATTATTATCTTTTAACTTGTATGAAATGATGTCAACTTTTCTTTTTGTAACATTCCATAAAAAAAAGGCAAAAAAAGAAGAAGAAGAAGAAGGAAACATACGGAAAAACTTTATGTTTAAATGTAAATGCAATATATCAAATTGAGGAGATGTTTATTTATTATAATTTCAGTAAAATATACTTTAAACTTTAAAATTATAACACTTCGTATTAAAATTAACAGATATAAAGATAATGCATTTAAATTGAAATGATTTTATATAATTTGTTAATTTTGAAAAGTGTATTTCTTTTAAGTTATTTTTATATAATAGAATAAAATACCTCATTATGTTATAAATATTTAATAATAGTTGTATTTTATATTTTAAAATTCTGTTTAAACGTAAATATGTTTGTACAGTGAATGAATAATTGTTAATTTGAAGAGAAAAGCTAACTATGAGTTGCAATTGATAAGAATTAAAAGAGTTTATGTAAAATTGTTTTAAAAAAAGAGAAAAATGAAAAGAAGTGGGATGGTTATGGAGAAACACATCATATATTAGGGTATATTTGTTTGTGCTCTTCTGGAAATGGGGGCGGATCGGGTAGTGACCCGTCTCGGCTGGTAAACAAACCTTGCACGTCTCTCGTCAGAGACACTGAGAGAGAGAGAGAGAAGAGAGTGATTCTTCTTCTCTTCCATTCCATTCTCTCTATTCATCGATCAATACTTCAATACTTACTCACTTTCAATCTTCTCATCTTTTTCGATTCTCTCCCCAAAAATCAAAATCAAAACCAAAACCATCCAAGTCCTTTTGTCTCCCTTCCACTCCCACACAGGTACTCACTTTACATCAATACTTTCTTTTTTATATATATAAAGTTAATGATTCATTGATATTTGGTTTGGTAAATGCTTTGAATGAGAATATATTTTTCCTTTTGCAATTTTCTCATTTTCACTTGTCGATCTGATGCTTTAAATTTCTGCATCTGTGCATTCTTCCACTATCCACCCGCTTTTCGGTTAAGCACTTCTTGCTTCCTTCGATAAACTTTATCTGAATTCATCTTTTCTGCCTTTGACAAATCCCATACTTGTATCTGAATCGACGCCTCATTTTTCTGTTTTTCAAATCCACTATTAGTTTCTCTTGGCTTGGAACTTGCAGTGATGACAATTTGGTTTGCATTTTTCTCCAAACATTGATCTTTTGCGAACTCATAAACCTAAACATTTGCATTATAGTTGTTTGCTGTCTTTATATTATCTGACTGATATTCTGTGAGTTTGTTTTCTAATATAAAATTTTCAATAGCTGGGTTAGGTCACATTGGATAAAATTTTATGCCTTACAATTGCCCATACCCTGCAGTGTTCGATTGGATTCGTTCGACCCTACTTCAATCTATCTTATTGTTACTCTCGCTTCGTAGTAAAGCTCCATTTCCTTGAACATTCTTGTCTGAAATCTTTCTTCTACGCCTCCTGATTTCCAGGTTAAAAACTTGAATGATCTTTTAGCTCCCCCCCCCCCCTCTCCCACCCATCCTTGTTGGACATATTTCCCGGTTTTATTTTTATGTGTAAAATGGCTGTGAGAGGGACTGGATATCAATTTTCCTGTCTGTTGTATGCTGGGATAGTTCACTGATTTGGTTTGGATTACAGGAACTGATGGGGAAAAAAGTCAAAAAGAAGAGCCGGGCTTCTGCCAAAGAAAAGGGGGTTGCTACCCATTCTCCAAGAAAGGTTATGGAATCTTGCAACCTGACTGCGGAGTCTGTTGGTGAGGGGGTTTTAGTTGCAAAAGAGACAAATTCTTGCCCTCATATTGTAAAAGGTGTTAATTTAAATAGATTGTCTAGTATGATTGGGTCTTCTGGATCCATAAGATGCGAAGACTGTAGAGAAGGTGCTGCTGATAGGAGGAGTAGTAAAGGAAAAGGTAAACATGGGAAGAAGAAAGGTGGTGCATCATTAGACTCAAAATCCGAGTCAAAGTCTTTATGGGTCTGTTTGGAGTGTGGTCAATATACTTGTGGAGGTGTGGGGCTGCCTATAACACCTCGATGCCATGTGGTAGGGCATGCAAGGAAAAACGGGCATCCCTTAGTAGTTCATTTTGATAAGCCTCAACTATGTTGGTGTTTTCCTTGCAATATGCTTATTCAAGTTGATAAAATTGAAAAAACCGATGAAACCAGTCATCTTTCTGATGTTGTGAAATTGTTGAAAGGACGATCTTTGGAAAAATCATCAGTGGATATTGAGGATGTTTCCTTAGGGGGTGGCATTGTTAATTCAGAAATTAAGTCAGAAGATCTGTTAACCAATGATTCATATGGACAAGGGGGTTATGTAGTTCGAGGTATGGTTAATCTTGGGAATACTTGCTTCTTCAATTCAATCATGCAAAATCTGCTAGCTATGAATAGATTGCGGGACAGCTTTCTAAAGTTAGATGCTCCTGTTGGACCACTTATTAATTCCTTGAAGAAGCTTTTCACAGAAACAAACCCTGATTCAGGATTGAAAAATGTTATAAATCCTAGATCCTTTTTTGGTTGTGTATGTTCTAAATCACCGCAGTTTCGAGGATATCAGCAGCATGATAGTCATGAATTGCTCCGTTGTTTACTGGATGGGTTGAGTACTGAAGAACTAACTGGAAGGAAACAGAATGGTTCTCCCAAGATAGATGGGATCTCTTCCAATACTTTAGTTGATACTTTATTTGGGGGTCAGATATCTAGTACTGTATGTTGCATAGAATGTGGGCATTTCTCAACAGTGTATGAACCTTTTTTAGATCTTTCACTTCCTGTTCCAACTAAGAAACCTCCACCTCGAAAGGCCCAACAAGTATCTCGAACCAAAAAAGCAAAACTTCCACCAAAAAAAGTTGGAAAGACTCGAGTTAAAGTTAACAGGGATACCGATCCATTACCTGTTCAAAATGTATCAAACCAATTATCCAGCCATGAATCGTCTCGCCCTGATCTGTCCATCATATCGGTTTCTGGAGGGATGGGGACTTCTCCTGGTGATTCTACAGTACTGGGTTCTGAAGAAAGAAGCAGTGTGGCTGATAAAGATGACCTGTCTTCACCTAATTTGGTTACTGCTGGAGAGTCTCAACATATGCAAGTGCTCGACAGTGGTGCAGGGAAACCATCAGCTTCAGATAATTTTACATGGTTGGATTTTGTGGAAGCTGGAACCATGGTAGATGAATGTGATTTCATTTCCCAGAAGGAGGATGCTCCAGAGATACAGGATACTGAGAGCAAGGATAAATGCTTAAATGAGTTCCCTGCACAGGCTAGCTGTGAATCTAGTGGTTCGGTTTGTTTCCTAAAGGAGGATCAAGACCAAAGGCCTGATTCTTCAGCAAATGGGTGGGAAGATGAGATTCCATTACAAGTTCAAGGTTCAGAAGTGCTGTTACTTCCATACAAAGAAGAAAGTTCCTCTGCTGGTGAGATTGTTGGAAAAGATGGTGAGGGCTCCTCATCAGTTTTGGGTGGTGGTCAAGAAGAATTGGAGTTTGATGGCTTTGGTGACTTATTCAATGAGCCTGAAGTTGTTGTTGGACCTTCTCCCAGACCTTCTTCATGTAGTGAGGTCACAGAAGCTGGTTTTGTCATTGGAAGCAACAGTGAATCTGACCCTGATGAAGTAGATGATACAGATTCTCCGGTTTCTGTGGAGAGTTGCTTGGCACATTTTATAAAACCTGAGTTGCTCTCAGATGAAAATGCATGGCATTGTGAGAACTGTTCAAAAGTTCTCCAACGTCAAAAGATGGAAGAAAAAACACAGACTAGAACTGTATCCGATGGAAATGGGAGAGGAAGTCATGATGAACCATGGCATGCACCTAACTCTTGTCCCTTTAAAACCAAAAGCATTAGAAATGAGGACATAAAAAATGACAAAAATATAGAAACCTCTGTTTCACATGTTAAACATGGCAGAGAGCTTGAAAATGGTCAAAGAGATAACTTGAGTTTAATTAATGAAAGGGATCATGGGGCATTTGAAATGGAAGATAAACATAATGATGAATTACAGTCTTCAGGTTTTCATGAAGCTTGCAATGAAGAAAGGTGCAATCTTTCAGCTGCTGATTCTTGTATTACCGAAAATGTCCAAAGAAGAGATTCTCTGGTTTTAGGCAGTGATAACAATGACTTAGAAGAGACTGACTCAAGAAGTGTGAAAGTGAAGAGGGATGCAACTAAGAGAGTCCTCATTTATAAAGCTCCGCCTGTCTTGACCATTCATCTGAAGAGATTTAGCCAAGATGCCCGTGGTCGCTTAAGTAAATTAAATGGCCATGTCAATTTCAGAGAAGTAATGGATATTAGAACATATATTGATCCCAGGTATTGATATTTGTGTCATGTTTACCCCCATTATCCTTTTTTTTAAGTGTTAGGGTTATCATATTAATTTAATCACCAAAAATGTTTTGGCAATGGTTTCAGTTCATTACAATAGCAAACAGTTTGGATTTGTAAATGCAGTTTTGACTGTAGATATTTAGTCTGTCTCTTTTAATATACTTTATTGATCTACTAGGATGTAATTCACTCCCAATTCTGTTCAAACAGGTGCATGAATGAAGACACGTATGAATACCATTTAGTTGGTGTAGTGGAGCACTCGGGAACTATGAGAGGGGGTCACTATGTTGCCTATGTGAGAGGGGGCCAGAGGAACAGAGGGAAGGGTGATCGAGTGAATGAGTGTTCCACATGGTATCAGGCAAGTGATGCATATGTACGTGAAGTTTCCCTTGATGAAGTTCTTCGCTGTGAGGCATACATTTTATTCTATGAAAAAAATTTGAATGGATCGTCTACTTTTTAGGTTTTATATTTGAGGGAGGGATAGAGAGGTTTACTAAATTGATGAGAGGGAGATAAATCATTGCAGGTGAGTGTAAAAGCAATTACCGTATATTGTATACCATTTTTTCAACATGTAATGAGATCTTGAATGTACAATGCGATATCATAAAATCAAAAGTCAATTTTTCCCCTTAACTTTCTTTTGGTGCCAACTGTCAAGCAAGCTTAAGATATTTTGCTGTTTAAAATTGTGGGATAGGATTATCTGGTATGCACTCTGATCAAGTTCGCTGTATAAATGGTAATATTTTAGTCAGTAATATTGGAGTATCGGTGATACTTTTATCAAGTTATGCAACCAAAATTTACACCACTATCGCATGTAAAAATGAAAATGGACTTTTAAAATGGCAATTTTTTTGTGTATATACTGAAAAGATTGAGATTTTCCTTATTTGGTTTGGGGGCACCAAATACAGGTTTGGAAAACGGTGGGTTACGTGTGAGCATCGACACTAGTGTTTGAAATAGTGACATTTATCATTCAACTGAAAAATGAACTGAAGACTAAACTTTTACTTTAGTCCCAAAAAGAGTTTGGTTTAACATTTTAGTTTCTGAGACATTTCAAATATTACATTAGTCTGTAACTTTTTTTTTTGTCATGTATTTTAATCTCTGACGTCAGACTCCGTTAAGAAACTGTTACAGAAGACTGAGCTGTTATGTTAAGTATTACGTTAGAATTCTACTTGGCAGCAACGACGTCGTTTTTGGAAGCTAGCGTGACACAAATAATTGTGAAACAGAGTCATCATCATTTAAACTCCTTTTGTCCAAATTGAATCACATATTTCCTCATTGTTGTCGAAGAACCCTATCTTAAGTCCACACAAAATTTTGCCCAAATTCTTGTTCGTAGTTGTGTTTGGGGATGAAATATTTAAAGATTACAATTTGTTGTAGAGAAAAAAGGGCTAACAGATGGAAAATTCAGTAAAAATAAATTTCTTAATTTATTGAGTCATTTTTTTAGTTTGGGGATAAATAACCCTAATTGTTTTCTTTCTCCTTAATCAGTGTGAATGTAGTTATTGGAAAATACTTTTTGTTTGTTATTGAGAAAACAACAAGAGATGGTAGGAAGTGGTCTCTGGTAGGCAGTAGTTCACTAGTTCCCTTATGTTTTCTACGACTTTTTGGTTTTTAAAATTAAAGAAAATAATATTAATGAAAGTGACCCCTTTCTGCATGGTTTAACCCATTTTCCCACGTGCGTGCATGACTTTTACTGTTTATTTAGTAAATTAGTTTAAAATTGTAAAAGATTGCTGACTTTTTTTTATAATTGTTTCTTTGTAAATGCAGACAATTAAATTTTACATTCACCATAAAAAAAAAATTTTGGAAGAAAATGGAATTAAGAAAGAGTATAGGTGGGATAAAATTGAGGTTTGGATTGATGTTGATGAAGATATGATAGATATTTTTAACTTCATAAACTTTGCCAAGGCAATGTGATATTTCAGTTACATAAAAAATATATTCTGGTTTGACCCTGATAAAGAGTATGATGAATGTTTGAAATTATTAAAATATGATGCAGATGTGTTAGAAATGAGGGTTATTGTTAAGAGGAATAGAAAAGAGATGCATGTCTATTATGAACATGAGATTGGTACACCACAATTACTTGAAGACAGTGAAATTCTAATGTCAGAAGGCCCTAAAGTTAATATCGCAACAATGGAAGAAGAAATTCAAGTTGAACAAGCAACAATAGAAGAAAGTATTGAAGTTGAACAATCCAGCAACAGAAGAAGTACAAGTTGAAGATGTAACAGTTGAAGAATTAGAAGTTAAAGATATAACAACAGTCCACAAAGTACAAGTTGAAGTTGATGAGAAACAACAAAAGAAAAAGGCAAATAGAAAGCAAATAGGAAAGGAAAAAGGAAAAGGCAACTCTAGTAAATCAGTTGGAAAAATAAGAAAAAGAAGTTTGCAAATTGGAAGCCATGAAAGACAACCTTCAATCTGCTACATCGAGAAAAAATAGAAAAAAAAAAGCATGGGAAAAGAAAAAGGAAAAGGGAAAGAGACAAAAAAAAAACTAAAGGAAAAGGTAAAGAAAAAATGACCTATATTGATAAAGAAGATTATTTGCATGAGGAACTTTCTGAAAATAGCATAAAAGATGTAGAAGAGGTGGATCATAGAAAAACATACTACTGTGAAGAAAGAGAAGAGCATTCTGAAAATTTATAGAGGTTTGAAGAATTAAGAACTCCAGCAAAGTTAGCTGATGAAGATAGTAACAAGCAAGTTTTTTCCCAAATTTTATGAATTTGCAAAATTTGAAAATGTTAACTTGGAGTTGAGAATGAAGTTTGAAAGTTTACAATCTTTCAAAAAAAGTGTTAAGGATTATACAATTTAGATGGGAAGAGAAATAAGGTAGGTAAAAAATGACAAAGTAAGAGCAAGAGCCAAGTGTAAACATGAAAACTGCAAGTGAGAAATATATTGTGCAAAAAATAATGTCACACATAGCTTCCAGATTAAGACTTTTCTCAGTGAACACAATTGTGGCAAGATTTTTAAAAACAAACAAGGAACACAAAATTAGGTTGTAGGTAAGCTTGTTATAAAACTAAGGAAACACCCCAATATGAAACATTCTGAAGTTGTTGAGTACTTAAAAAAGAAATTTGGCATGCAGATAGAAGATACAAAAACATACAGGTCAATGGTTAAGGCAAGAGAGATTGTAGAGAGAAATGAGAAAGAACAATTTGGGATTGGGAAGTTGTGGAACTATTGTGGAAAACTTTTGAGAAGTAATTCAGGTTCAACTATCAAAATAGAAACTGATCGTCAAGTTGAAGGTCTATCGCAATTTAAAAGATTGTATATATGTCTTGCTGGGTGCAAAAATAGCTTTAAGGCTGGATGTAGACCAATGATAGGACTTGATGGTGCATTTCTTAAAGGTTATCATTGAGGACAGTTGTTGACAGCAGTGGGACAAGATGCTAATAATCACATATGGATAATAGCCTATGTTGTTGTGGATGTTGAAAATAAAGAGAATTGGCAATGATTTTTTATCACTCTTACATGAAGATATAGAATATTATAAGCAACATGGTTGGAATTTCATATTTGACATGCAGAAGGTAAACATCTACGTAGGATGAAGTTACTCATTACTTAGAATTAACAGGACTTAATTGCATGAATAATAAATCAGATAAGGACTAAATTGCACGATTTTTATTCTATTAAGGACTAAAATGAACTTTGTATTTTACTGCAGGGTTTGATTCCAGCTTTGTAAGAAGTGATGTCAGGTGCACACCATAGGTTTTGTGTGTAGCATCTATGGCAAAATTTCTGTAAGCAATGGAAGGATAAAGCCTTAAAGCACCTTGTATGGGAATATGCAAGATCAACCACCATCTCATAATTCAATGCAAACATGTATACAATAAAGACAATGTATGAGAAAGCATAGGCATACTTAAACAAGTGGTCAAAAGAGGCATGGACTAAGGCATACTTTAGTGAATAACCAACGGTGGATAACATCTATAATAATAACTACGAGGTCTTCAACTAAAGATTGTAAATACAAGGTGTAAATCAATATTAACAATGCTGGAAGAAGTCTAATGCTACATCATGATAACAATTAGTATCAATAAGTTGAAGTTGGTAGCTTATGCATGTCAGTTGCCTCCTATACAGCAACGTAGGTTAGAGAAATTAAAACAACCAAGCATTAAGTGGACACTAATATGGGCAGGTAAATATAATCCTAATTTTCTGATAATTTTTAGTAATATAACATTAAATTTGTCTTAACTAAATTTTTATCATAGGTGATGATGATACTCATACATTTGAAGTGCAATGTTCCATAACTAAGGTTGTTTTTCACTTGGGCAACAACACATGCACATGTAAATTTTGGCAATTAACAGGTTAGTTAATTCTATATGATGGCTAATGTGTTAAATTTATATGAATATGTAACATATATAATTTTTGATATTTTTTTTCTTATAATTTTTACAGGTATGCCTTGTATGCATGCTATTGCTGTAATAACATATTAAAATGAGATACCAGAAGATTACTACCATGGATGGTTAACAATTGAAGCATGTTGTGCAACCTATGAACATCATGTTCAACCATTACAAAGTCAAGATTTTTGAGAGAAAAGTGTTTTAATTTCACCATTACCACCAACTGTTAAGAGGACCGTAAGCAGAGCTAAAGAAGCAAAGAAAAAAAGATAAACAAGAAAAGCAAACAACTGAGAATCCATAGAAACATAAATTGAAAAGAAAATTGCCACAGGTTAGGTGTTCATGTTTATGGTTAACAATTAAAGCATGTCGTGCAACCTATGAACATCATGTTCAACTATTACAAAGTCAAGATTTTTGAGAGAAAAGTGAGCTAATTCCACCACTACCACCAACTGTTAAGAGGACAGTAGGCAAATCTAAGAAGTAAAGAAGAAAATATGAACAAGAAAAACAAACAACTGAGAATCCACAGAAACATAAATTGAAAAGAAAATTGCCACAAGTTGGGTGTTAATGTTGTGGAGTTCTAAATAACAACAAACAGACTTATCTTATACTGAAAAAGCAAAGATGGAAGATTCTCAAGCCCAAAACAACAACTTAACATAGCAGTCCATCACCATACATGCAGAAGAAGTCTTAACACAATAATCTTCTGTTGTACCTACAAAAGAAATGCCAACAGATGCAGTACCACAAGAAAAGAGAGATAGAATTAGGCCTAAATTAACCATTAGGACAAGGTCATCTGCTGCAAATGTTTCCACATCACCTCAGCAAAGTCTACCACCATCTTTACCAAATGAAAAGGGAGATGACTCTGTAAAAGCTGCACAATTCATGCCAACACCTGGAATTAGGACTGCAGAATGAGTTGTTGCGATTATGTTACTTATTTTCATTATTTTTTTTTGTAACAAGTTTGTATTATATAAGACTTGTGTCATTTGGACATATTTTATTTAGAATAGTTATTTTAATTGGACAAGTTGTCATATTTTAGGTTCTACCAATTTAAGGCATTGAATGGTTTTATTTCCATTCAGTTTTTTATATTGTTAGTTATTATTTAGTATTTTTATAATTTTTAA